ACAAGGAATGCCTCAATCATTTTCACGCTTCACAAATCCAATTAATTCATTTCGAAATAGACTCAAGGCAAATTCTAATTGAACAAATTTCAAACCAACATCTCACAAGAAACGAATATGGCTTAAACCTCACAAGGTAGATAACGTCATCCAAAATAACAAATCAAGTTCGTCAAGGTATGCCACTCATTCTCATAATAACAACTTTTTAACTCAATCAATCAATCTTCAACTATTCTTGTCATACACCAAAGTCCAAACTCAGAAAGACACAACAAATAAAAATCCTAAAAACCAGACCGGACCACCAAGCAAGAGAAAAGAAATAAAAGACAACCTAAGGCAAGAACTAGACCTGGTCCACCACATAGTCACGTAAGCACGTAAAACTCCCCCACACTTAAAACCGAACAATGTCCCCATTGTCAATTCTCAGTGAAGGAGAGTGAACCATATAATGAAACACGACTCGAAATAAAAGAAGCTATACAAAAAGAAAAGAGAAAGGAAAAGAAAAACATACAAAGCACAGTGACAAGTCACTGTGCGTTCGGTGGTGGCGGAGGTGGGTGCTGGTATTGCTGCGCCTCCCAAGTATCCCAACGGGTGTCATGGGCTGTCCAGTGCGCCTCGTTGGTCTGCTTGAAGTCGTTCCAATCCTTTGTCTGTTGGGCCCAACGCTCGTCATTAGCCTCCAGGAATGACTGCCAACGAGCATCATTATGCTCTATATACGAGTCGAGGCGCACATTGTGCGACTCGACTGCGGAGTGGATGGCTCGGTATTGCTCGTCATTCCGGGTCTGATTCTCATCATACCGAGCCTGGAACGTGGAGAACCAGGAGGGAGCCTGCTGGGAGAAAGTGCTCGGGTGGTCGTCCATCGGGGGGTGCGGCTGATACTCGCCGAGATCGTGGTGGTTCTCGGCCTCTGGAACGTGATCCGTCGGCTCCGCTTGCTCTCCTGCTACCGGTTGAGAAGGACCCCCCGTGGCTTGCTTCGAAGAACCCTCTCCTCGTGCCATTCTCTTCAACTCCTCCTCCCGTAAGTACGTCTCGTAGCATTTACGCTCGGAAAAGTGTGTGACCTTGAGTCCTTTGTTCAGAAAGCCTCCGTGGCGAAGCTCCTCGTACCCGATGACCGCAGCACCGATTCCCTCCTCCATAGATGCGGGGATTTTGAAATAGTCAGCGAGTTCGGTAACCACATGAGCCAATGTAGGGTAGCTCTTGGACCTATTACGCGTATCGACAAGGGCTTGCTTGAGAAACGGGAGTAGGCATATCGATTTCTTCTTGCACATCGCCCACATAACCAACAATTCCTGTTCGCTGACCTTATTCGCCTCTGTCTTCCCAAAGATGTTGTAAGAGAGGAATTTATGCACAATCGCGATAAGGAACTCCTTGATCAGACCAGCAGAAGGTCCCTTTCGGTTGAAAAACGAGCAAGGTGATAAGTCGGCCCAATGCTTGTCAGTTTGGAAGTTTTGGGGTTTCTGACGAGCGCCAGTTATCTTCAAGCGATAAATCTCGCATAGAACTTTATCCGTGATTTTGATCTCCTTCTCGTTTAAGCGACAAGTTAGGAAGTTTCCGTCGTCATGGCTTTGAATCGTGCTAAAACACTCGAGGGCTAGTGACCGGAAAGCGGTTAAATTATCCATGTCCGCATACTTTTCCAAGTGAAGTTCTTTCAAGTACGAGCGGACGGCGACCTCGATCTCGTAATGCTTCAACAATGCCCAGTCGAGTACTCGGGGCTTAGGTATAGGCCGTGCGGCTAGCCGCTTGTATGCGGCTACCTCGGAGTCATTGAAAACTGGAAACGGGATGCCGTGGGTTTGAGCCAAGGTGGGGATATCTTCCCCCGAATCGGAGTCCGAGTTGTGAGAGGTGTCCGATGACTCGGGCGGAGTTGCTATGATGGCCTTGTTTTTGCCTTTGCTCGTAGAAGGGGCTTTAGTGGCTTTCTTGTGTTCACCATATTGATGCGAGGATAAATTCAACGAAAAGGAGTGTGTACGAGCGGAAAAGCTTTCTTTCGCGGTTGGGGCAATTCAACAAACACCTTGTGAGCGGAGTTTAACTAGAGAAGCTTGTGATGAACTTGAATGAAGCTATGCCCAATTTCA